AATATGTGTAAAACTGTGAGAGGAGCAGTTTTTCTTAAGCAGTGGAGGTATGTTTCTTTAATAAATTATTGAGATATAGGCGATTTTATGATGCACGAATTTTTATTTAAGTTTGTGTAAAGGATTTACAGAAAGAGTTTTTATTTTTTTTCCATATATAATAAATGATTATATATATATTATTTATATATATAATATATAATATATATAATATATAAGTGTAACGTAAGACTTTTGGCTGACCCCCTCCCCCCCAAAAATATTATGTAATATCTGTCACTGCCCTTATTGTTATAGTACTGCTGTTAAGAAGGCTACTATAATACTATATATTTTGGGTTGATCTTTAGTATAGATAGGCATATATAATAAATATATAATTATAATATATATAAATTAAGTATTTTGAACTAATTTAAATAATTTTATAACTTATTAGGGTCAGAGTTATGGTTAGAATTTAAATTGGCTCAAATTAGTTAGGTTTTATATATTGAAATCTTGTAATAATTTATATATGACTATCTATACTAAAGGAGATCCATATTTTGATCAAGTCTTTATATATAATTTTAAATTTTTTACTACTCTTCCTTCTAAAAAATTACCTGATTTTTGTTATGTCCTTAAAGTATTCTTATTTTTCTTTTGATGTCTTTTTGTAGCATACTTATCCAAATCTATTGTCTTGGTCTTTAGATTTATATTTACTAATTCTTGATTGTCTGTATTTAGTTTATCTTCTTTTGAGAATTTTTGAAAAGCTAATTTGTAGTTTTCTAATACTATATATATAAATGATACAAATTCTGGATTCTCTAATTTTAAAAACTTTGCTATACTTCTGTTAGTTTGGAGAACAAATCTTTTTTGCATATTATATATTTCTTGTCTTTGTTCTATTGGCAATATAAAAATACTCTTAATTTTTTTTAAAGTTGTTATCTTAGTATTTATTAAATTTAATTGGTGATTTGCCAATTAACCAGAGAGAGGTCATAGTATAATATAATACAGATTACATATAGAAATTAGGGGTTTGCAAATATAGATTGCATTATTCTAAAACTTTTTTGTACTAAGTTAATTATCTTTAGGCTTCTAATTAAAGTTGTAGAGCTTATTGAGAAGAATTTAATAGTAATTGAATCATCAAAATCAGCCTTGTAAATCACAAGATATCTTTGAAAACGTTTTACTGACTATGTAAAATTCTCTTTTAATAATAGTATTGTTAAAAGAGAATTTTACATAGTCAGTGAAATATTTTTTGAAGATATCTTATAATTCACAAAACCAATTTTGATAATTTAACTACTATTAGATTTCTCTTAACAAGCTTTACAACTTCAATTAGAAGCCCAAAGGTAGTTAACTTAGTATAAAAAAAAGTTTTAGAATGATGCAGTCTATATTCATAAAACTCTAATTTCTATATATAAACTACATTATATTATACTATAACCTCTCTTTGGTTAACTGGCAAATCACTAATTAAGTTTAATTCTTTTCTTTGTTGAGCTAAACTCTAAGTCTGTTACTTTAGATTTTATATTCACTATACTAATTTTCTAAAATAATTTACTATAAAATACAATATAAGATATCTGGATATTTTACATTCCATATGATCAAAATTTAATTTATACTCTGGGTATATTGTATAGCAATAAATATATTTTTTAAAGATATTTTGTAAAGAGGTTATATTTTTTTTTTATATATTAAGGTGACTATTTGGAGATCTGGTATATATAGTTTATTAACTTCACAGTTCAATTATCAGAATATTGAATAGGTACCTCTTGACTTTGTTATATCAATAAGAGTACAATTGGTCACATATAAAACTTTAGTTATTGTCTAATTAAGGCTCTGCTATATCTATTTCTATCTATAGTTACCCACCAATTGCTATATCTAAGATCTGCTTGTAGTTCTTCTATTAAACCCTCTAATCAACTTAGTACTATCAGATACTTTTTCTGAAAGAATTTCTGCTGCTAAGGCCCCTTAGGACTAGTTTATTCTTGTGATAAACCTACTAGAGTAGTTTATGCTCTATATATATATCACCTGAATTTTTCGGTAACTTTATGTTCCAATCTGAAAACTAATACTTGTGGTCTTTATCACTGCTACCATTATCTACTCTTTGCTCTTACAAGGTTTGTTCCAATCCTGATATCTATTTTTAATCGGCCCTTATATTGATTTTTCTCTAATTACCAAACCAGTTAGCTCAGATAGATTGTTGTATCTAGGCTCTAAGTGCTTTCTGGTTTTACTTCTTTTAGTTTTTAATTTTGTAACATAAAACCTTTTTTTTTGGTATGACTCTGGTGACCAGGTTAGTAGACCCTTCTTGCCTCAGGGTTATTTATCCAGTTCTTCAGTTTCCAGTTCTGGTTTTCTATAATATCATTAAAGATCTTTACTACTTCTAGCTCAGGTCTTGCCAAACAGGTTTTAAATATTCAGGTTTCTTGAATTTGGATTGTTCTAAAGCTTCTATTTTAAAATAATAGTACCAAGATTACAGATAATATACTCAACTAATCATTGAATAAATATTACTAAAACACAGGTCTATTTTCAAAAAATGTCTTTGGTGGGAATTGAACTCTAAACCTGCCGCTTGAAGGGTGACAACTTAACTACTACTCTATATCACTACACCTTGTGAAGAAGTTATATTAGTTTATTAGAAAAATATATATATAGTATATTAAATCAGTATTGATTTATACCCAGGTCTTTTACAAAATACTATAACAAATACTCTTGTAATATACCTAATATTTAAATCAAGAAGATACCTTGTACTATATTTTACAGTATTTCTATTTGTTGTTAGTTGTTGTTGTTACTAGTCACGTATATTGTTTATTGATTTATTATTTCTGTTATATTTAAAAATAGTAATATGATCTACTGTTTGTTTGTTTGTTTAACTGATTTTACATATTTATTTTGTTATTGTTATTTATATGTTACTAAGATCAGATTTTTAGAGTCTAGACAAATTTTCAAAAATTTCTAAAAATTTTCTAAAAGTCTTTATTTTGTTGCTAGTCTTAAAGTTTTTTGTAAAAAGCTTTTTTAATAAACTTTTTTAATAAACTAAAAATTATTTTTAGTGCTTTTCTTTTTTCTTTAGTACAAGAAACCTTGTTTTTTATATTAGTTTTTTCAAAAAATATTGTTTTAGCTTTAGGTCAATTAGAAATTTATAAATTGTAGATTAGTAAAAAAAATTTAATATCTTTGGATTCTGATTTTTAGAATATTGTTTCAAACCAAAATAATAAATATAAAAACAAAATTTTTATCTTTGTTCTTGATTTTTTTCAAATTGTACAAGCAAGTAATAGCAATAAAATCTTTTATATTTTAACTTAAAATATCTTATTATGTTAATATTCATAGATTGAAGATATGCAGTCATATTAGACAGAAGAAAATATATAGTAATATTTGTTAAATAAGAATAATCTAAAATCTTTTTTTAAAATTTTCTTTAGACTTTTCTTAGAACCTTTTTGTAGCTTTCTTTGGAGTTTTTTTTATAGTCTTTCTCAGAGTCTTTCTTATAGTCCTTCTCAGGACCTTTTTTAAAATCTTTCTTGTGGCTTTTCTTATAATCTTTTTTATGATCTTCTCTTAGACTTTCTTTAAAATTCTGGTTCTTTAGATTCTTCTGGCTTTTCAGAGTTTTTATGCTTTTCAGATTCTTTAGTTTTTTTGAGTTCTTTGGATTCTTTAGATTCTTTGGGTTCTTTGAGTTCTTCAGGCTCTTCAGGTCTTCAAATTCTTTGAGTTCTTTAAGTTCTTTGAGTTTTTAAATTTTTTAGATTTTTTAGATTTTTTAGTTTAATCATTACTAAAGATTTGAGCTTTCTTTAATATTATATAGAAAAGCATATTGTCAATCAGAAGCAAAAT